TTATCTAATTTCTAAACATAAGGTGGTACAATTGTTTTTGTTATATGGATACATTGTATAAGGATTACATCATGGTTTTTTTTTTTTTTTTTTTTCCTGTTATTTAGGTTTCATTGAGGGCAAAAAGAATTAGGTTACACTGATTTCAATTGCTAGGTAAAATCTGTCTTATAATTGTGTCCCGCCCCCAAGAGGAAACCATACTGAGATATCACCTAATCCCACTGAGAACAGCCCATATCACAGTCTCAAAGCTACATGTGCTGGCATGAATGTGGAGAGAAGGGGACATTTTTACACTGCTGGTGGGACTGCAAACTAATACAACCCTTTGAGAAGGACATATGGAGAATCCTCAAAGAACTCAAATTAGACCTCCCATTTGATCCTGCAATCCCATTACTAGGCAGCCAGAAGAAAAGGAAAAAAACATTTTATCATAAGGACATTTGCACTAGACTGTTTATCTCAGCTCAATTTACAATCACCAAAATGTGAAAACAACCTAATGCCCACCAACCCAGAAATGGATTAATAACAAGCTATGGCATGTATACCATGGAATACTATTAAGCTACTAAATAAGATGGAGACTTTACATCTTTTGTATTAACCTGGATGGAAGTGGAACACATTCTTCTTAGCAAAGCATCACAAGAATGGAGAAGCAAGCATCCAATGTACTCAATTCTAATATGAAGGCAGTAGATGAGCTAATACAAGGTGGGGGGGCATAGGAATGAGGGAGATGGAAAGTAAATGTTTTAAAAAAATTACACATCTATAGATGTCATTTTGCTTTATGAATAGTTTGGCTGTAGATTATATGTAATTCTGGTTAGAAATTTTCCTGCAGAATATGTTAGCATTGCTCAAGTGTGCTTTGGTTCAGACGTGGAATGCCATTGGAATTCTGGAGCCTGTATGTACAACCTGTGATTTCTCATTGGAACAGAATCTAAGCTTGCCCTTAGGCATTCTGAAATTTTACAAGGTGCCGAACCACGACTTTTACTCATTTCTTCTATTGTGCATTTTCTGAGTTTCCTACATCTAGAAACTCATGCTTATTAGCTCTGAGAAACTGTTAAAATTATTTCTTTGAAAATGTCCCTCATGCATTTGCTCTTCCTGGAGCGCCCACTGTTTGGCTCCAGACTGATCCTCTAAGTTTTTACCTTGTTCTCCTAGTTTCTATTCGTCATTTTGTTCTATTTTCTGCTCTAGTTTCCTAGCCTTCTATTAGATTTTTCTTTTTACATCTACCATCAGAAAGTTTTTAGAGTTCTACTTGGTCTCCGATGACTTTTTAACTCAATAATAACCTGGGTTTTTTTCCACAGAAGCAGTATTATTTATTCTTACCTGCATAAATATCTCACTATGTAACAATATAACAATAACAAAATTAATAGCTGCATCTAATATTATCCAACGTTCATCATTTGCCATACCCTATGTTAAGCATTTTACACCGGTTTATCCCATTTGAACCTCACAACAATTCTGATAGTTATTTAGCTCAACTGCACAGATAAGGAGACTGTGGGCTGATAGATTATATTGCCCAAGTTCATGTAGCCAGGTAAAGGAAAGAGCAGCAAACTGAACATGGGAAGCACGACTGAGAAGTGACGTTCTTGGGCGGCGCCTGTGGCTCAAAGGAGTAGGGCACCGGCCCCATATACCAGGGGTGGCAGGTTCAAACTCGGCCACAGCCAAAAAAAAAAAAAAAAAAAAACAGCAAAAGAAGAAAAAAGAAAAATGAAGTTCTTGAGCTGGTATCCAATACTACCCCCTTCAGAGCCCTGTGAAAAACTGCAAATTAAGCTAACAAGCATACATATAGGTTAAGAGGCATTCTGCAAATGTCACAGAACCTCGTCGAGATCCTTTCATGGCTTCAGTTCTGTGCTATCCCTGCAATAGTTCAATCATAAACTACATTGATAGCAAATCTGGGTTAGTGTGTGTACCTGAGAGGAAAATAAAGTGAAAAACAGGTGAGTTTCTGTTATTTTAGCTGTGACTTACATACCAGGCTGCCTGGTTATCTCAAATAAGTCACTTGGTCACAGCAGGGAAAGTAGTCAGGTGAGTCCTAAACCATCTCCATCCCCCAAAGGCAACTTAATCACACAATTGACTCACAGTGGTGTTTTATCTATGTGGGTTTTTTTGTGTGTGTGTGCACAAAGATAAACTTACCTTAAAATCATACTCTACCACTTCACACATCCCAACAAGTCAGACAATGGCTATTACATCTCAAGCAAGCACAAAGCGAGGACCATTCTGCAAAGTCTTGCTCTTTGTATTAGTGAATATTTCTCCTTTGAAATACTTTAACTTGATAAAAAGCAACAGACAACCCCCACAATCCATGATTCTGATGTTCATCTTTGAACAGCTTTTTCAGCTTTACTACATCATGACCTGGTAATTCATGAGTCAGGCCTTTTCCTATCAGCCCACTTTTTAAGGGTTAATGAGCTGAGCTTCTAAGCATGTTAAAAGTGGATCCTATTTCATAAACAACTATAGTTAGCTAATTAGTTATTTCAACATTTAAAAATAGCAGCAATTATGAGCTAAACTCCATAACTGGAAGGTAAATTTTCTACTACGCAACTCAGAGAAGGAAAAAGGTATCTGACACGTGGGAGCAGTGTGCAAACCCCCTTCTGCGGTGTGACCTTTAATACAACCTGGGAAGCTGCCAGCCTGCCCAACGAGTGCACTCTGTTATCAGAGAGCAAGCAAGACCTTGTTAGGTCACAAAATTTATGGCATTTGGCATCACTTTGGGACACAAAAGCTAGAGAGTGCACCTTGACTAAAATAGATGGGCTGCGCCCTTGCTGTGAGAGTCATCACAGCAATCCAGGCCTGCGGAAACGCGACTTCAAAGCTACCCATGCCAGTACTAGGCAGGGTGTCACCCTGCCAATGGAGATAAGGGGACATTCAAAATATCCTTTGCCATTTTGTAAATGACAGTAGCTTTGACCTTATCACTGACTATACCACCATGTGCCCCTTTTCCTAACACAGTGGCGTTTAACCCTCCCAATAATGTGAAGAGAGTGGGTGTGAGCACGTCCATGTCACAGATGGGGAATCCATACTTCAGAAAAGGCAAATAATTCATCAGGGATCAAAAACAGAAAAGACCTGCGAGGGCCAGGTCTAGCATTCCGGTCTCCTGACACCTATTTAAATGGGCTTTGTTCTAAAATTCTCATTAAACACTGTGTTCAATTCAGGTCACAATTGCTGTTTATGACGCTGGTGCTTTAAGAATTACACTTATCCCAAGGAAGGGGTCTCAGACTTCAGCTTGCACCAGCACCACCTGGGGGGCCTGTTAAAACCTAAATTACTCGACCCCACTCCCAAACTTTCTGATTAAATAGGTCTGGGATGAGGGCCAGGGTTTTAGTAATTAATGGATTTTGAAGGAGAACAAGCATGAAAATTGTACGAAAATCTGTATTAACACTTCTGACAAATCTTCCATATGTTCTTTAAGAAATTCTGCTTTCTCCTGATAAAATAATGGCATTCACAGCTGACCATGCCTGCTCCAGGGCTTTTAATAAAATCAGAAGAATCTCAGTCTTTAAGAGAAATACCTATATAAGTATTTTGAGCCACAGCAAAGAAATAAAAGAAAGAACACCAGACAGCAGAAGTTACCAGGACTTTAACGTCTATTGTATAGACAGGGAAAAATTCTAAATGTATTTGACCAAACATAGTCCCATAATGCTGTTAATGTGAAACAGACCTAAACAATGTTTTCAATAACAATACACATTTGCAAATAGAGTTAAATGGTAACTTCAGAATCTTAAGAATCTATATCACCCATTTGCCTCTTTAAAGGCATTTAGAGATCAGTGAAGAAGGTATTTATGGACTGAGGATGAAATCTTCTGTATTAACAAAAGAGCCAAAAGACTCTGAAAAAAGTCCGCAAAAGCGTATTTTAAAATTTTGTTCCAAGAAGCAAAAACACCTGCCACCCAACCTGTCTTACTACCAGGTATTCACATAAGAGAAACTAGGCACAAAGCACCAGCCTTACTGACAGCAGTGCACAGGATTTCTGATCCATTGATAGTCGAAGATACTCATTAACATGGGAATATGGAGAAAAAGACGCTGCACACTGAGTGGGCTCTATGAGAGGCGTGTGATGAGCAAGTTTATAAGTTTGATGGAAGTGTTTTGGATTGTGTGTGAAAACTCCACACTGTACCCCAGAAGTGCATTAATGTACATAGTTACCATTCAATAAAAAAAAAGTGTATAAGAATCGCTTTTTCTTTTTTCACTTTGAAACCATCTCAAACGTAGAGAAAAATTCTAATAGTACAAAGATCTCTTTTTCTCAAACCATTTGCAAATAAGTTGTCAACATAAGATCCATCATCTTGAAATATTTTAGTGTTTATTTCCCATAAACCATGTCATTCTGCTCTATATCAAAAATATAATTTTCATTTATCCCATGATAGAATTAATGTGCACAAATATGACCTAATTTAAAAAAAATAAAAATAAATTTAAAAAATATAATTTTCAAAACCAGGAAACTATCTTTGGTAGCATAACATCATTTAATCCTCAGACTTCATTCCAACTGCACTATGTGTCCCAATAATGGCCTTCAGAGCAAAAGGATCCAACTCATAATCAATGTTTCTGTCTATGGCCATACCACCCTGAATCTAGTCTGATCTCGGAAGCTAAGCAAGGTCGGGCCTGGTTAGCACTTGGATGGGAGAATCTATGTTTCCACTTCAGTTGCTTTAGGTTCCTTTAGTCTGAAATATTTCTCAGTCTTCTCTTGACTCTCTTGGGCTTGATAGCTTTTTTTAAAATTATTTTTATTTTTTGAGACAGAGTCTCACTCTGTTGCCCACGCTAGAGTGTTGTGGCATCAGCCTAGCTCACAGCAACCTCAAACTCCCAGGTTCAAGGGATCCTCTTCCTCACAACCTCTCAAGGAGCTGGGGTTATAGGAACCCACTATAATGCCCAGCTAATTTTTCTATTTTTAGTAGAGACAGGGTCTTGCTCTTGATTTGGTTAGTCTTGAACTTCTATGCTCAAGTGCCTCAGCCTTCCAGAGTGCTAGCATTACACATGTGAATCACCATACTTGCCCCTGAACCTGACACTTTTGAAGATATCAGGCTTGTTACTTTGTAGACTGGACCTCCATGGGGGGTCTGTAATATTAGAATGAGGTGCCGGTGCCACCTCTGTCAGGAAAACCACAAAAGCAATGCTGGGTTCTTTAGATCAGGTGGCAGAGAGTTTCAATTTGTCTCAAGCTAATTTCGTTCAATTTGATCCCTTGATGAAAGTGGTATGTGCCAGCCTTCTGCACTGTAAAATTAGTTTCCTCATTAGTAATTAATGAATATTAACTACACATAATAAATATCCTGTTGATGATCAAACTTCCAATGTATTCAGTTATTTTTGCAGTCAGAATAGACTCGTGGTTTCCTATTCTATGCAACCAGTTAGATGGTCTGTTGCTATGTTTTATTTTAACACTCATCTTGTCTACGATGTCACCAGCAGGAGCCCTTCTAAGGTATCTATGTCTTTATGACGTATCACCATCTTTCTTTGAGTGCTTCCTTACTAAGGAGAACACCAAGATGTTCGGGTTTATCTTGTACTTCCCCTGCTATCATGGTCTTAGTCATTTCTCTCGGAATCCTGGGAGAAGCAGTGGAGTAAGATTTATAGAAACCAAAACCTGGATGCTACACATCACTCAATCAGGCTTATCATCTGGTGTTTATCCAAAAGCTGTGTCCAGGTTCTCTTGGCGGACAGAGGCGAGACTATATGTACACATTTATACACACTGGATCCCACACCCTTAATTTATTTACTTATTTGATCCTGTGTGTGACCAAGATCCAGAACTGCCACTGCATGGACACTCTCCTGGCCCCACACAGGCTGCCACACCCCACACTGGGGCTGCCACCCCAACACGTGGGCAGTTCACCCTGCTCAGATACACTTGCAGTACTAGGCACCCTTCTCCATGAGTGCCTTCTCCCCTTCATTCTGGCTCGGACGACACTGAGCTTTCCCACCTCCTCTGACTTCCCAAACCAGGTGTCCTCCTCTGCTGCTACCCTCCTCACCATATGGGGCTCCCATACTCTGCATCGGGCCCCCCCTCCACTCTGTACCCTGTAGGGGCATGTCTCCCTTCTCTGAGTCAATATTTCCCCCGCAGCCCCGAGATGCCCTGCCTAGCATGACCTCACCTAACAGCTTTAAGATTGAATTAAGAACATGAAAATGAGTGCAAAGGGAAGCATTTTGTTTATTTTTAAAAGCAATATATAAATTTACTAAATGAAATAAATTTCCATTAATTTATACTATTTCCAGAATTTTTTATCAGCCCCTAAGAATGGGCAAAAAGAGCTTCTTTATAACTTTACATGGGAAATTTTTTTTTTAAGTTTTGTATCCACAGCACTCTACCCAGGGTGACAGGGTGACATTCTGTCTAAAAAAAAAAGTTTTTCCCATTATGATTGTCAGAGAAATGCAAATCAAAACCACCTTGAGATATCACCTAACCCCAGTGAGAATGGCCCACATCACAAAGTCTCAACGCTGCAGATGCTGGCGTGGATGTGGACAGAAGGGAACACTTTTACACTGCTGGTGGGACTGCAAACTAATATAAGGTTTTTGGAAGGACATATGGAGAAACCTCAGAGAACTCAAATTAGACCTCCCATTTGATCCTGCAATCCCTTTACTAGACATCTACCCAGAATGAAAAAAATTCTTTTATCATAAGGACATTTACACTAGACTGTTTATCTCAGCTCAATTTACAGTCTCCAAAATGTGGAAGCAACCCAAATGCCCACCAACCCAGAAATGGATTAACAAGCTGTGGCATGTATACCCTGGAATACTATTAGGCTACTAAATAAGATGGAGACTTTACATCTTTTGTATTAACCTGGATGGAAGTGGAATACATTCTTCTTAATAAAGTATCATAAGAATGGATAAGCAAGCATCCAATGTACTCAATTCTAATATGAAGGCAGCAGATGAGCTAATACAAGGTGGGGTTAGGGCCATGAGGGATCGGGAGAGGGAAGGAAGGAGGGGGTAGGGGGTGGGGGGTCACGGTGTACGGCACACCTCTTGAGGGCAGGACACAATTACAAGAGGGACTTTACCTAACAACCTCAATTAGTATAACCTAATTCTTTGTACCCTCAATGAATCCCAAACAATAAAGAAAAGAAACTTTGCAAAAAGCAAATACATATATATTTTTTTCCTCAATAATAAATTAAACTTAGCTCACTGTAAAAAAAAAAAAGTTTTATAGTATCAGAAATTAACATTGTATTTCCCTTTTCTGTACATACCTATTTTTGCTACTAAATCTCTACTGCCCAAATTCACATAACAGAGGCCCTAGAATATATCTAGATTTCAGAAGAAAATTTATTTTGAGAGATCTTAAACAAGTGATAACTAATTTAGTCATATTAGTAGTTTTTCTTTTTTAAAAAAGGAAATCTTCTATGAGTCAGCTGAAAGTGAAACAAAACAGTCAGAAAACACAGGCATGAACACCTTTTTAAAAATCCTCAATTTCATCTTACCCTTGAGAAGATATTTTCCAGGGAGCTAGTTAAGGATCTCTTAGCTTTATTTTTCAGAATGTCAAGTTTGAACCTTCCGCTGCTTGTCGCATTTTCTGGGACTGTGCTATTTGTAATAGTCTAAAGAAAAAAAAACAGATAGATTTTCATTTGGAAGCATTCAAGGTTAAATGAGGCTTTAAATACAGGCTTTAGACTAAGTTATTAAAAAAAACACAAAAATTCTTTAGTAGCCCTAATAAGAAGTAATGACGTTAAGTCCCATGACGTGAACACAAAGATTATAAAAAAAAGGGGTTTTTTTAATATTGTAAGTAATAAAGACAGATACGAGATCTTTCCTTCATGCCTTTTCTTTCCACTAATACATTCCTGCTACATTTGACAATAATTAAACTTAAGATGTCAATTTTTACTGCTGTTACTCTGGCTAAGAACTAAAATTATCACTTTCTAAGGCACATATTTTATATCAAAATATAAAGGATACAAGTTACAAAAATCAAAGCATCTTCCAAATAAAACTGGATTCTGCTAATTCTTCTGCTAAAATTCTAGTTTTTAATTTTTTCACTCATCTTTCAGATCAACAAGTATTCACTGATAGAATCAAACTACATGACAATTTAGGATATGTCCACTATATTAAGTTCGGCATACATTTTACCCCATTGAAGAAAACAACTACTACGTATATTACATGGTCTTTAGTGCCAGAAAACCTTCAGGAGAGAAATCTTGTAATTTTCTCGGGGAGGGAATAACAACTCAAAGCATATGTGGGTATCAAATGTCAAAGTCTGAAGATGGGCTATAGGCCTCAGTGGATAGGAAGAAGAGGATGCAAAGGATCCAGACCCAGGAAAAAAGTCTTCCCTAAAAGCAGAGATGGGTGTTGGCAAAATTACAGACTGGATTGCTTAAGGTTAGGGAGCCAGTGCACATATTTGTTAAAATAGAAGTTTACACAAGAAACTAAGACAGGAGAAAACTCCAAACGTTTTTAAGTGCTAGTTAAATAGGAAAAATCGCTTGTCTGAATTCACAGGGAGAGGGGAATTACTATGAAAGTAATGTCATAGGGAGATTTATCCGTAATGAGTGTTCAGAAAACATCTAAAGGATAGGGAAATCAGAGACTGAAAGACCAAAGTCAACGTGAAGCTTTGGCACACTCAGCAGGCAATTAAGAAGCCTCGGCACCTGTAGCTCAGCAGCTAAGGCGCCGACCACGTAAACCAGGACTGGCAGGTTCTAACCCAGCCCAGACCTGCCAAACAACAACAACATCTACAACAAAAAAATAGCCAGGCATTGTGGCAGGTGCCTGTAGCCCCAGCTACTTGGGAGGCTGAGGCAACAGAATCGCTTAAGCCCAAGAAGTTGCTGTGAGCTGTGATGCTATCTATGTATGGCACACTACAGAGGGTGATATAGTGAGACTGTCTCAAAAAAAAAAAGAAGCCTCACTAATGCTGGCTCCGGAGATCATTTAAGAAGTTACCGATGAAGACCTATGGCCCCACCAAGAAAAAAAGGAAACAATGGATACAGATATGGGCTGGACAGAGCCTAGGGTATAGCTAAGGCTTCCAGACAAATAACATGACCGAAATAGAGAAACCATACTGGCATTAGCACAACTCCTGACACAAGTGGCTGCTCAGCAAACACCAGCTGAATATATGGAAGGAAATAAAGCAGAGAGAGGAAGAGAGAAACTTAACTACAGGCAAGAAGGCATAAGAGAAAAGCGCTGAAATCTCCTCCTTTGTGACCTTCGGCGCCTCCATCACAAAGAAATGCTCCTCCCAGCACACGTCCTTTGACTGTGCGTCTTCCTTAATTACGTCATCCATTCTGATTCGTCCAGGCCACCAAATCCATTTTTCTAATCAAGTCTCAAACACAGCTCCACACTTGCTCCTCCTTTTCAATTCTCATCCCTGCCCCCCTCTAGTCTGCTTTCTATATTTCCTACCTCATCAAGTCCCCAAAGCTGAAATCGTGAAGTCTCTCCCTTCCTTGCAGATCCTTCCAGTTTGTCACTAAGTCCTAATGTTGATGTCTCCTAAATAGCTCCTCCCTTAGTCCCTTCCTCACCTCTCCAGGGCAGTATTTCAGCCTCTTTCTTGAGTCAAATAAGTTTTTCAAGACAGAATCATTCGGCCTAATCATTTGGCAAGCACAGTAAGGCAGTACTACCGCACACACATCTTTAACTCCAAACCACGTTCACAAAAATGCCATCCTTTAGCTGGCAGCTCGGGTGCCATTTATCCAATATTACTGCTGCTTTGGTTCTTTTCATGTGTGTAGTCTAAGCTTTTGATGTAATAAAATGTTCAGAATTTGAACATTTGAAGAATTTGAAATAGAATAATAGATTAATATAATTTAAAAATGTATGTTCATTCCATTTTTTTTTTAAGACAGAGTCTCACTCTGTTGCCCTGGAGTTGAGTGCCATGGCATCATCACAGCTCACAGCAACCTCAAACTCTTGGTCTCCAGAGATCCTCACACCTCAGCTTCCCAAGCAGCTGGGATTATAGGTGCCCACCACAATGCCCAGCTAGTTTTTCTATTTTTTTTTTTTTAGTAGAGATGGGGGTCTCACTCTTGTTCAGGCTGGTCTCAAACTCCTAAGCTCAAGTGATCTGCCCACCTCAGCCTCCCAAAGTGCTAGGATTACAGGTGTGAGCCACTGTGCCCAGCTGTATGTTCATTCTAGATCATAAATATTTGTCCCATACTGCTTTTTTACCAAAAATAAATTATTTTACTTTTTTGAGACAGAGTCTCAAGCTGTCAGCCTGGGTAGAGTACTGTGGCATCATCATAGCTCACGGCAACCTCCAACTCTTAGGCTCAAGCAATCCTCCTGCCTCACTTTTTCTATTTATAGTAGAGACGGGGGCTTGCTTTCTGCTCAGGCTGGTCTGGAACTCGTGAACTCAGGCAATCCACCCTAGGATTAGAGGCGTGAGCCACCTGTCCAGTCTATTTTATATTTTAAACCATCATTCCATTAGCTCAACGTGTCAGTAACCTGCTAAAATTTACGATAAAACAAGTAGAATGCTTTTAAAAAAGAAAAAGAAAACATTCTGATAGTACTTGAGTCCCAAAGAAGATGTGAGCGTCCAAGGGAAAAACTCCTTTCCCATCTTCCGTGACATTTAACCAGATCCATAAACAAAAACAAGGGGGAAATATCTCCTCACCAAGGGGCCCTCTCCAATGTGCACGTGCGTCTTCTGCTTGGCTTCACACAGCTGCCGCAGGTGTAAGATCACAAGTTCATTTTCCTCCTGGTCACTGACAGGCTTCATTTTCTGTTCAACAGACAAACCAAAGCACGCACAGTAAGGCAACACAGCTTCTCTGCTTTTATTTTACCTTGTCTGGCAGACAAAAGTAAAGCAAGGTCAGAGTTTTACCTGCACTCAGAAGCTAAGGTAACAGGGGCACTCTAGTACCCAGAGAGTACTACAGCACACACGTCTTTAACTTCCAGCAGAGGAATGAAGAAAGTAACTCATAAAAACACAATCCAGTTCTCACTGCTTATATCTTATTTATGAGACCTGCGAACAATGTTACCTGAACTTTTTCAAAGATGTCAGCTTGCTCATTATCTGTCAGTGATGAGAGATGCCTCTGAATTACCAGCTTGGCTCTTGGGGGATACAGACCTAAGGAAAACGATGAGGGAAAGCATTAAACAGAGCCCAGCAGCAAAGATCTAGGCATATATAATGTGCCACACTTCATCCTTCCCCAGCAGGCTCCGAATTTAAATCTTCTCAAGGAGACGTGTTCCTGCCTACAACAAACCTGGAAGTCCTACATCGAAATCACTAAAACAATATGAAAAATCTCTCTACCAAAATCAATAGCTCCCTGCAGTGACCCTGGAGTTAGAATTACTGATAACAAATTTCTAAATGATGCCAAGCACAACCAGATACCACTTAGGGTACTAATAAACTTAGCCACCCTAGATACGCACAGGTCAATTAACGTGTTAATTAACAAGGACATGGCAGGGAAATAAAGGTTAAATGCTAGTCTTGATCGTAAAAATTTCGAAGCTTAGAACTTGATATTTAAGGAGAAAGAACAAGTCTGGGCACAGTGGTGTGTGCCTCTAGTCCCAGCTACTCAGGAGGCTGAGCCGGGAGTGTTGCTTGAGCCCAGGAGTTGGAGGCCCAGTGCACTATGACTGTGGCCATAAATGGCCACTGCACTGTATCCTGGGCAACACAGTGAGACTCTCTGTGTATAGAATTATGTCTCTTGATATATTTAAATTTGCCTTTTAAAGTAAATAAACCAACAAAAAATAAATAGCAAAGAAAGGATAATCATAGTAAAAGGCAGGGACTGCAGCTTAGAGATCTCTCCTCCTCGTGTAGCTCCTGCCCTATGGCAATAAAGCTTCAAGAACGGCATTAGTATTAACACCTTCAGTGTTACCATTTTGTAGAGGAAACTGAGCCCTGATCTTTAGCATAAGACTCGCTTCCCGCTTAAGAGACCTAGAGAATCTCGAGAATGGCATGTGAGTTGTGTGCGTGCAGGAGATCAGAAAACTGGCCTCTGGAGAGCATGTGTACGTGAGGTGTGGCAATAATAGTAATGGTGAAGAGTCTCCAGATTCCAAAGGTCTCTTGATGCTGGAAGCAGAGGTCATGCTCAAAGTCTGAGATTTTAGAAAACAAATCGGAGACATTGTGCCTGACACTTTCCATATTCCCCCTTTCAATACTGATGCCTGATAAGTAACTTTTAACTACTTTTTCCTACTTTGTGATAATAAACACAGACCCAGGTTAACTGGGGAAGGCTCCTCCCAGAGTTCCTCAGTCCCTCTGCACAGACTGTGTGTCAAGCCTCTTCATTCCTGGCGCCAAGACCCCCTCTTCTGGTGACCCCAAACTCCTTCATTATCTTACTGAGAAATTGTTTACTTCTTTATATAAAGCTGTTCTGCTCTTATATAGAAGTTGGTGTTAAATTTGGGGGAAATTTCCACGAAAGCATTCTTGTTTTTATAATTTTTTTTTTTAAAAAGTGTAATTCACAATGATTCAACTTACCATCCATTTTGAAAGAACAGATAGTCATTGCATAGTTAGGTGCTACCTACAGGACTGCTACTATATTTTGATTATAAAGACAACATCTAGCTATACATAATAATAAACTTAGTAAGTAGACTGGCGTTTTAAAGCCATTACAAGGCTACCTTTGCTTCCTTTCCCAGGTTACTACTAAATACATTACACGACGTCAGGCCATAACTTGAATGTCTCCCATCTCTTCGTTATTTTTATTTACAAAGAGACAACATAATTGACTAAACATACTTACACTTTATTCTGCTAAGTTGCATTCCAGAATTTAAGCACAATGTGATAGTCTGTGAGCACACTGCGCAGTTTTCTAATTGTATTTGTTTCTAGAAAAACACAAGATGACAGCTAATTGAAATGAACTGATTCAATCTCATCTGAGGTGCTCTTGTAAAAAGAGAAAAAGAAAAAGAAAGGAGTCGTGTGAACTACATTCATAGCCCAGAAACTCTCTTTATTCCTCTTGTTCAACTGAAGGATTGGAAAGGGCTGACACGCTCCCTCACCATGAATCTGATTTGACGGCCTTCTTCCCTCCAGTTTGGAACCAGTGACTAGTGAATTACTGACACTGAGAAGCAGTAAGCTGTCTGGCATGCCTGGGACACTAGGATAGCCACCCTGCTATCTCCTTCTTTGTTACTTATCATTTGACTTCCAAATAAGCAGTAATTGGCATGTAAAATGATTTAAATTTCCAGGAAGTCAAATCTAGCAGTGTCTTTTAATAGTTTTTCAATTTTTGTGTCTTAACAAAACCTTCTTTTTCAAGGAATGGGAATATCCTTCTTGTTTTCTTCTAATGATTTTAATATTTTCTTTGTTTACCTGAAGACTTTGATCCATCTAAAATGCACTTTGATCAAGATGAGTGTGATGGATCTCTTTCCTTCTGCAGAGCTAACTGACCTAACACCATGTCCTAAGTAATTCGGCACCACACACAGATTTATAATGCTCCTTGGGCTATACATCAAAGAAGGTCTCATTTTTGTAAATGCTTTATATTGTTTGAAAATAATGTGCATTCTGAAAATCATAATTATACATTTTTGAATCTGAATAGTACATGGAAATAGGTCTTGATCACACAGTTTGGTTCAAACACACAATAAATATTGCTGGTCATCGCTGATATTGCCAGTGCCTATGATTCTGCCTATTGAATAGAAATCACGATTGGTGTTTGCAATGTCTCTAGGCCATTCTTTTTTTTTATGAATAATTTGCACTTTTCTCATCTATTATAACACACATCATACTGAATTGCATTTATTACCTCACGTGTTTCTTCCAATCTAGACTGGAAGCCTCTGGGGGGCACAGTTCACGTCTCCATCATTTCTGTCTCCTAGCACCTAGCACAATAATGCCTGATCCAGAGTAGACATTTAACAAGTGTTTATAAACCTGTATTTTTTCTCTTGTGCAACTGTTTTCATGGTCTGTTATTAGTAAGAAATAATGAGAAAAAAGGGAAGTTGAATCTCAGGGTCACCTCTTCCTCAAGCTCTTCCGTCCTCCTTTATAACACATTTTTTAAAGTCCTGCCTCCAGCCTGGGCAGCAGAGCAAGACCCCATCTCTGTTAAACACAGAAAAAATTAGCTGGGCATGGGGCACGCACCATAATCCCTGCTACTCAGGAAGCTGAGGCAAAAGGATCATTTGAGCCTAGGAGTTTGAGGTTGCAGTGAGCTATTCATGCATGACAACATCATTGCAGTCTAGCGTGGGCCATAGAGCAAGACCCCATCTAGGGAAGAAAAAAAAAGGGAGTGAGTGTGGTGGCTCACACCTATAATCCTAGCAGTCTGGGAGGCCAAGGCAGGTAGATCCCTTGAGCTCAGAGTTCGAGACCAGCCCAAGCAAGAGTGAGACCCAATGTCTATTAAAAATAGAAAAAATTAGCTGGACGATGCAGTGGACACCTACGATCCCAGCTGTTTGGGAGGCCGAAGCAGAAAGAGCTCTTAAATCCAGGAGTTTGAGGTTGCTGTGAGCTCTGCTGATGCCATGGCCCTCTAGCCCAGGTGACAGAGCTAGACTCTCTCTCCATAAACAGAAGGAAAAGGAAAGGAAAGGAAACCTTTGTAATATCACCTCTATTATCTCTTTCACTTGCAAGTGTCTCTCAAGAACCAAGCAAGTTTCATTACAGTTCTAAACTTTTAAAAAAGGAACACATCACCAGTTAACTGGGGGGGTAGGGTGGGAATATTAAATAAACAATAGACTCTGTGATGGGTTTTGCCTCTCTTTGTTCATCCAACAAATATCTGGCCAGTTCTCACTATGTACATAGCAGTCTTAAGAACTGTGGGAAATATAAGTCCTTCCTTGAGTTTGTCTTCAAAAGGGAAAAAAGAAAGGGAAGGACATGAGAGAAAGTCAAGCACACAGCAGAGACTGACAGCACACTTAAATTTGACTGGACATGAGAAATGACTCTTTGGGTTCTTGTTTCACATAGAAACAAAGAACTATTCAAGGACAGTAAGGATTTTCTCATTTCCCAAATGCCAAAGCAAACTCATCTTTTGCCAAGGCCACATCATACTGTACCTTCGATCCTTTCACAGAGCTTATGCAAAGAGTGCATGGGGCAGGCCTCACACAGCTTAATCTGCGTCTTGGCGCTCTGCAGGGCGGCAGCTGTGCTGAAAGCCTGCTTCAGAGTCAGCATGACCTCATCAACCTACAGGAAGAAACAAGACTCAGGTCCGTGAAAGTTTGCCTTCATGGTAGTGCTAAAAACTCATCAGCTCCGTGAGCCTTTGTTGATGCTACTAAACAATACATAACTGAATGTTGGTAACTACAGAGCTGGCAGAGGGACCATATTAAGGCTTGACGTTAGACTTTTCATACATATAACTAAAAACTGGATGAAATAAGACCGTCTCAATATATGTAATAAAGGACTGATCTGTTACTCGAATGCTGTTTTCAAATCCCACTGGGAACCACACTACTCTGGTTTCATTAGTGTATCAGGTCTTTGTTTAATTACATGGTTTATCAGATAAAGACCCCTTAGGAAGTTTCATCTGCCACACATAAGGAGCAACAGGATAGGTTCAACACTCAGTTCTGGGGATAGGTATCCTACTTTATTTTTCTACATTACTTTTAGTGTAAAAACAAAACGTGTTTAAGTGACGTTCTGGGGGAAATGAGTTCTTTCAAACTCTAACTTCTGCCCTGTCATCGTTCCTCTTCTGATCTGTGACACTGACAAGGCCTGACATCATGGTGTCTAAGCTGGTCCCACCACCAGCCCACAGCTGAGGAACAACCAGCCAGCTTCTTTCTTGCTCTTCCACTGATACAGTCGAGAAATGCGAATCGAGACTTTCCTGGTTGCTGCTTTGAAACCAAACAGGGTTCATCCTCATGCACTGTTAAACCCACTTAGGTTATATCTCCCTTTCTGTGACTCGGTCACCCATGGAAGGTGTGATTCTTCCACCCTCCAAAGGACTTAGATCAAATCATGAAACTTGCATGGCAGAGCTACTTGAGCAGGAAGAGACTCATCCACACTGGCTTTGCTATTCAAAATCATTTACCATGCTTGGTAAACCATGTGTTTAATTCTCTTTTTTCCCTTTCCCTATGGGCTGGTTTAAGAATCAGTTATTATTTTAAGGATTTAATCTACTTCTGCATTTGAGTGTATGAAGAATAGAAGAGAAAAAGAAACTTCACTTTTCTAATACTCCTGAAAGGAGAGATGAAATATGAAGTCGTGAGTCATTATTCAATCATGTTTTATTATACTAATGACCTTTAAAAAAAGGCTTATAAGTAATTTCACCTCACTCTGTCAATAATGAATTATTCATAAACTGTTTTAGTCTGCAACCAAAAAATAACGATTTCTAATTCTTGGAAATAAAAACACTACATGTTTAATGTCTTTGCATTTTGATTTCATTTGCCTTGTTATGTACCCAAAAGCTATTTCAATTATTATTCAGATGTTTATTGATTTCTATTTTCTTGTTTCTCATTTATTTAAGACACTGAAGGGTTTAGTAATCTGCCTGATAATATAAAAAGCTTTGTTATTTAATAATACTGCCTTGTAAAAGGTCTCCAGTAGAAATGTTGAACTTGGGTGTTTTCTTCCCTATTTCTAGATGAAACAAGAAGAGGCAGTTTCAATGGTGTGACATGTGGCTACCACCTTCTCCTGGCCAAAAATATTACTAAAACTTTTATTTGACTTCTAAAATTATAAATGTCTTATTCTCTAAAATCCCCCACTTTTTCCACATGAGGCACAAATTCTATTGTGGGGTCAGTGCAACTAAAAGGTCAAGTTAGTGTACCATGAATAACTTAGTAATTTTAGTCTAGATACAACAACAAAATCATAAATATATCAAAAGATTAAAAGCAATGAAAAGGCAAAGATAAATCAACCGTACACAAACAGAAATTGTGCTATTCTTGGCAAAACTAAATTCCCCATGAAAAGCATGAAATGGGATAGAGAAGGCCAATTTATGATGGGAAGTGGGGAGAATCCATAATAAAAATAATTATTCATAAACATTTATAGTTTACACCAATCTTAGGTATTTTATGGCATTTTAGAATAAATCCAAGGATCTCAGAATGTGTAAGGACTTAAAGAGATGATTTAATCTAATTCTCCAGGAAAATTTAAATTTCAAACTATCCAAAAAAGAACAAAGGTCATTCCTATTTTAACTATGGTTAACAACAAGGCAATGGTCTGCTTCGGTGTCTACTCAATCACCCACATACTGAAATGTTCTCATGTTTGTGATTTGTTTAGCCCACCTAATACGTTCTATACTGTGTGTGAATTCTCACATTTGCTCATTTGGCTAGAATCAGCTCCTATACTTCT